GCAAGCTGAATCCTTGGGTTCCTTTAAATCAGAGCTAGATAAGATTTTAACAACTCTGAGCTATTAGTTAAGTTCTCCCCAAGCGAGCTCAATGGGCCAAATGGCCTCCTCTCGTTTGTATAGTTCTTATGTTCTAACATGGAACCCCCGCTGACTCACCAGCACAGGACATTTGTAAAATAGCTCTGTGGCAGTGCTGTTGTTGTTAATATAATCTGCGTAACTGTAACAATTAGAATGCTTTTGTTTTTCCTAATTATTCACGTGCTTGTAGTGTGAGCGAATCGGAATGCATCCCGCGATGGTCTTTGTGCTGTGATGGTGATTAGGTCTGTCCTTTATACCTGTGACGTAACACCTCTCAGCGGGAGTCATGTCCCCATTGTGGAAAATCTGGAAAGATTATTAATATCACATTTATAAATTTCAGATTTACAGACATTTGTGATCCTTATCCCAGACTTTTTTTTTCATTTTTCTGAATGAAATTGATGTAAATCAATTTCCATGTCGAGCCAGGCGACGACAATGCAAACTGTTTAACCTCCTCATGTTGACGTTGTGCAGTGACATGCATTTTCCCTTTAAAAACGACAGGAATGTGCTTCAAAATTACTGTCAGTCTCGTAAATGTGATGGACAACCAACGTGTAGACACGAGATCAGTGCTCAACAGTAGGCAGTAGCGTAGCAACGTCCGGTGGCTGACAAATTAGCTTTCAAGCCACATGGATGCATCAGAAACCCTTGTTTTAGTTGTGCGTGCAGTGTGATAGCCAACGCGTGCTGAGACCGCACTGCTTCCCTGGGCGTTTCTCAGTGTTGCCCTGGCCTCAGATTCTCGCTCGCTGTGATTGTAATCTGTATTCAGAGCACCTGTAACGTTCTATGTTTCCTGAGCTGCCTGTAACCCTGTCACACTGGAGCCAGTGTATTCCCAGATTTTACTTATCTATGCAAATTACACAGCGCTTTTCTACTGCTTACTGCACCCACGCTGCCACTGTAGGACCCAGTGTGCATTCTTGTGTGTTTACTTTTTGTTTTCCTCGTTATGCTTTTATCAGAATTTTTCATTTGAACTTAGAAGTATGACTTTGGTTTTACTTGAAATAAAAATTCTGAAACCATCCTGAATTTTTAGTGTCTTATTCATAAAAAAAAACCATCCTCAAGGAGTCTTTGAGAGTCATGTTCTGTTGGACGTTAAGTATGTGAGACAATCATCAGAGAGCTAATGAAGTTTATTTTGTTTTTCCGCCATGTGTGATAAGCACCTCTGCTGTTAAATATGCATGGTGTTATGGAGATAAGTTTGTTCCTGGGGGAGGACCGATGTCTCTTGCATTGCAGCCTCGAGTCAGTCGAGCGAGGTCGGACTGGGCAACTGATACTCAAGAGTCTGTCCAGCGGAATGGTGTGAGCGGGTGAGTCTATTTATTTTGCATAAAAAATAATCCTGTGAATTTTGAAGACAAATTGAAAGTACTGGGGTGTAAATGTGGGGACTGAGGCATGACGTCTGCCGTTTGGGGTCAGAGTGGCGGCCAGATGAGTCACACGCATGATAGCAGGAGTTTCTCTTACCCGGCAAGTTGACGGGGGGTAATTTTATTGAAAAACTGACAAATGAACTTGTGTGCTGGATGCTTAGACGCTGTTGTGCGTGAATTAATTCGGCCAGCTGTTTCCTCAGTTGAGTGATTCCCCCCCCCCCCCACTTCACAGCGGCACAGCTTCTCAAACTCCACACTCCGACTGCTCTTGAGTAACCCAGGCAAACAATGAAAAGCAAACTAGAAACAGAATTTCAGGTACGGGAATCAAAACAAATTCTCCTGTGTCTCAGATCAAACAACTACGTAAACCAAACTTTGTGACTATAGCCCTGGGCTATACTAGGATTTTAGCCCGGTTTTAGCCCTGGACTTTGGGGATCCCCGTGGCCTGATACTACAGTCGTGTTACTGGCAAATGCACACAAGGCTTATTTTTCCCAGCTCTTGGTAGTGAAATACATCATTTTACCACATCAATGAAATGTTACTTGCTGCTGTGGACTCCCATGAGGGACTTGATGGTAAACATGCTGTCAGATTCCCAAACATTTAGACCACAGATTAATGGGGGGGGAGGGGGGGAGAAATACCATTTAAAACTAATTCAGGCTAATTCCTGGCTGAAATAAGCATAAAAGTGTGATGCAGCTTTTCTCTGTGTTCTGTGGGATTTCAGAGGAATCAAATTCACACTGAAACCACGGTCCTTTTTGCTTGAAGTAATATACTTATAAATGTTACTTGATGCAACATTGTGGAATTTTTTTTACTGGCAGAAAAGTACTTATCTACGGAAAATCTCTCAGGAGATACAGAGCAAGGCCTGGATTGGCTTGTGTGCCTGTAGCGGATCTGCCATTTTACGGTGCCCTCGGAGGGGAGGGAAGAGGACAGGAGGGGAGGGGAGAGGAATGGAGAGAAGTCATGAGGAGAGGAGGGGAGGGGAGAGAAGAGAAGGGGTGAGGAGAAGAGGGGAGGGGAGAGAAGAGAAGGGGTGAGGAGGGTAGGGGAGAGAAGGGGTGAGGAGAGATGGGGAGGGGAGAGAAGGGGTGAGGAGAGGAGGGGTAAGGAGAGGAGACATTAAAAAACACACAGCTGCAGTTTTCACTTCAGAGCTCTCTGCTGCAGCTGGAATGCTCCGGAAGGGCAGAGGCTCGCTGGAGCAACAGCATGACATTTGTGCATTTTTAAAAGGCTCCGTTTCCTTCCCTTGGGAATAATATCAATATGCTAAAGGCTGCCAGTGTTGACCCACCGATTATAACCAGCAAAATCTGGTGAGCCGTCTCCCAAAGGCAGTAAAAAGTAAGGACACATTTTTACGCCCTAGTTTACAGAATAACCGATGTGTGGGTCCCTCAAGTTCTCACCAGCAATAAATATATCAACAGTGGAGGGCGAAATATATAAATATAACAAACAGCATCTCTGAACTCACTATGATGTTTAAAGAAAAGAACAAGTCCTCCATCCTGTCCATGTTTTCAAGGCACTGAAGAGATGAAGTTTTGGCTCTAGGTGGGACAGAGCAGCGAATATCCAAGTTCAGGATGTTGCCATTTTGTCGTTGTATTTATATTCACGTTTATAAAATCCTCCTGAGTTCCAGCAATTCATTTTTTCCTCCATCGAGGAAATTATGTTTTTGCTCATATCTCTCATACTTTACACTCTATTGTTGTTCCTTAAAGAGGACAGTTAGAGCTTTATGATGGCATCACATGTGACCTTGCCAAATTCCTCTTCCAGTCAAATCAAAATTTTAATCAATATTAAAGTGAACTTTGTTTCCATGAATCTCAGGAGGATAAACAGGAAACTGCTGGACCTCAAAGTCCAAACCCCACTGAAAAAAGGGGAAAAAAATATTAAAAACCACCTTCGGCTGACAGTGATGCCGGTGCTGCAATTTACACGCTAGCATACCGTCTATACAAATGTGCAGGCTCTAAGTAACTGGCAGCCAGCCAGTTACTTAGATTGGTTTAGTTTTACAACTAAACCAATCAGATGTCTTAGTCCCCACCTCCTCTAAAATCTGATTGGTTATTTCTCTGAACCATCATTTTTCGTTCTGCCCTCAGAACATTTTTGTGTAAATAATACTCCCACAAGCCCCGTTGGGGTAGTTAATGTAGTCTGAATTTCAAGTAAGCCGGAGCGGAGTAGTTGAACAGCAGGAAGTCCATTCTGTAGAGGCTGTAGAGCTTTCTCTGGTAGAGGGGGCCAATGTTGCGGAAGAAGCGGGCAGCCATGTCCTCCGAGGTCCTGGCGCTCTGGGCGGAGGCAGGGAAGCGCACCTCGTGCTTGACGCCGGCCAGCTGCAGCACGTAGCGCGAGTCCTGCTCCAGCGTCTCGTACTTTCCCACCACGTCATAGTGGATGAGGCACGGGTGGCAAAGTGAGTGCACGCGCTCCCAGTGCTCGTTCAGCGGCTCCTCCTGCTGCGTCCGCGGGTCTGCCAGGTAGCGCACAAACTCCTCAAAAGAGACGTCGTCGCCGCGCTCCAGCGCCTCAGGCCGGGGATCGGCGCGGTGCCGGCGGACGATCTTGGTACCGTAGCGCTTGTGGAAGGCCGTGTTATAGCTGCGCGTGAACTTGTTGCGGTAGGCAGAGACGAGGCGCTCGAAGGGCTCGCGCACGAATACGAACTTCAAGTAGCTGCGCAGCCGCTGGTTGATCTCGCCGGGGCTGTACTCTGACAGCGTGCGCAGGTTGCTGGGCACATGCGCCTCGTTGGCCGGGATCTGCAGCGGGTCGCTGTAGCGGCCCCCACCCGTCAGCACCATCAGCACTCGCTTCCAGTTGGTGCAGGCAACCTTGGGCACATAGCAGTACAGCAGCCCGTGCTGGTCGTCCACAATCAAGTGCTTGAGGTCCTCCTGCACGAGGACGCGCCGTTTCCGGGTGTAGGAGCGGCACACCTCCTCCAGCAGCTCTCGCCGCGCCTGGTGGGTCATCTGAGGGATGGACAGCTCAGGCTATCGGGAGACGGAGAAGATAAACACGTCAGGCAAAATGCACAAAGATACACAACATACTAAGTCTAGCAGACTGCATGGGACAACTATACTGATTAGAATCAAAGTTTAGTTTAGATTTATTTTTCCCCAATGTGTCTTGATATCACTCTTACCTGCTTTTAATATTTATTCTGGGCTGCAGATTGATATTTCAGAATGATTTATCAACCATCCATACCAGCTTGTCCTATGCAAGGTTGCGTGGCTCCAGAACCTATCCCAGAAGCTATGGGCACAAGGCAGGGAACAACCCAGGACGAGGTGTTTGGACTGTGAGGGGGAATGAGAGAACCTGGAGGAAACCACACCATGACATGGGGAGAACGTGCAAACTCCAATGTAGAGCTAGGCCAGAGGCATGAGTCCTGGTCCCAGGGGTAGTGCCAACCGCTGTGCCACCATGCCACCCCATTTCAACATAACCAAGAATGAAAATGTGAATGCTGTATATATTCATGCAGTGTTTCCACATGATGTGTTTCCTACATTCCTGTGGTTGGGAACCATAAGCTTGGTCTGTATCGAAAGCTGTCCCGGACTAGGCAGCCTCCACAACACTGCCACCCTATCATCTGCGCTTCCTTGCTTTTAATGATTATTTGCTTGAAGAACATAAGGTCACAAACATACAGAGAGCGTCAAGTCACCTGTGACTTTTAGAAACCTGCCTATGGGCTGAGAAAGCGGCTGTTCCTTCAGCCTCCCAGCAGGAGGAGCCAGCAGCTGTTCCATCACCCCCCCCCCCCCCCCCCCGGGCGATGAGGCAGTGCCTTGTCCATCACAGTCCCTTCTACCTCCTTTCCCTTACACGGTTACATGATCGTCTTTCATGTACAGCACAAATCAGAAAATACCCACAAGTGAAACAACCACTAATTTATGACTGGTATAAATTTCAAGTGAATCCTGGAAACCAACCACAAGCGCCATCTGCCGTTTCTGGTATTATCTTTCCCCAGAGATTTAACACTCCGGGAATCTTCCGGATACGGTACATTTAAGTCTTGTGTGGGGCTTGTGGTCTGCTGGCTGTTTATTAGTCGTTACATGGATATGACAGACACGCTTTGTTTCTCTTTTGGGAAGAGGGACTGGATGGAAAACACACTGTCAGATTTCCATACCTTTAAACCACAGATTAATGGATGAAGAAAAAACACCATTTAAAACTAATTCAGATGGCTTGGCTAAGGAACATAAGAGTGTAATGCAGTTTTTCTCTGTGCATAGTCAGAGCTCAGGGGAAATACACTAGTGGCCAGAATGGTTGAAACACTCCCAATTTTTAGACACTGTAGAACTTTATTCCAGTTACTTATTCAACCTTCCAGTGTGTGACATTTTTAACATTCTTTGTTTATAAACATTACCAGCAGTATTTGTGTAGTAATGAGAAAAATGCTCCGTGTTTTCACAATTTTGGCCACTAGTGTAAATTCGAACCATTGGTCCACCTTTTTTTCTAACAGACTCCATACAGGCCCTCAGCTTTTCCTAAACACATTTCAGTATGGTTTCATTCACAAACTCGCTTCCCCAATAGAGGAACTGCATGGAATTCATGCAGTCACCATATCCGAGCTGCGGCAGTAACCCTTACCGCTGCCTTGCTGGCTTCCCTGTTTTTTCCACACTTCATTGACCATTTCAGAGCTCGAAAAGGGAATGTCAGTGAGCCGTCTGATAAATGTCAATGAGCTGCCTGGTAAAAGCAGCCACACTATAGTGCTGGACTAACTGTGGGGCTTAACTGACTAGAATGTAAATAAGTCTTATTGATTATATACACTGATATTCTTACAGCTATACACCTACTTGGGGGGGCCCATGGTTTGTATTTTTCATACTTTGTGTTGTAACCATTTGCCGTCTATGTTCAGCGTTTCCATGTTTTATGGAAATTAAGCTAGACAAGCCGTGTAGCTTATGATGAATCACAGGTGAAGGGGNCTGATCACCGTGGTATAACATCTGGAGGGGGCTTCTCCCGGACTTCCAGTGCCAGCCAGCCCAACGGGTGCCCTGCTCTGCTGTGAACGAGACACACACATCAGACAGACAAACTTCATCTGGCGGCCACCCACAACTACCCCTCCACATCACACACACACACACACACACACACACACACATATATTTGTCTTCATATCTTTGTGGGGACCGTCCATTAATTTCTATGGGAAAAACCCTAATCCCAACTACAACAACTTTAACCCCTACCCAGCCCTAACCTTAAACATTAGTAACCAAAAAAAATACATTTGGTCCTCACAATGTAATATACATGACACGCGCACACACACACACACACACACATACACATATGCACATGTCACACGCACACACACGCACTCATAGATCAGAGCCTGTTTCCATAAGTTTAAATTTAAAACATAAAGACCAGTTTCCTCACTTCGATGTCTCATGTTTCCCAGTTATTAGAAGGTTATGGTTGCAGAGATGAATGGGTGATTGTGCATTTAGCTCTGGGCTCTGCCCATTAAAAAGAATGCATGATGTGATGCTCTAGTGCACTGCATGTTCTCCAGAAAAGGCCTGGGTTAGGGTAGGTTTGCATGGAGGGGGGAGCGATGTGCGGGTTAGTACTGTCCACCGTGCCTGCACTCGGTCTAGTGGGAACATTTTCCACGTAAACTTCCAAGTAAAGTTAATGTGGGAGTCAGAAGTGTTGGTGTGTCCCTATACTGGGAGGCGGTGTGTGTGTCTGTGTGAGATGTATATATCACATTGTGGGGTCCAAATGTCCCCACAATGTGATAAAAACCTATTATTTTGACATTTTGGGGACCATTCTTTTGGACCCCAAGGGGAAACTCAATTTTATTATAAAAAAAATGTGAATGCAATCAAAAAATGAAAAATGGCAAAAGTCTTGTATTTTGTTGCTTATGTTTAATTTTAAGGTTGTCATTGTTAGGGTCAAGGTTTTTCCCTGTAGAAATGGACAGGTTTCTGTAAATGGGCTCATTTTGGTTAAACTTTGGCAACTCAGGAACTCAGGAACCATAACCAAAAGGCTACATCTAAAAGGAGGATGTCAATTAGGTTAACTTTAAAAAGACAAACTCTGTATTTTTAACGTTAAATGTAACACAACACTGTCTTCCATGTATATTCAAGTTCCCGGACTAGTGGGGGGTATTCCATGAAAGTAGCTAAAAAAAGGCAGACTTTCCCGAAAAATTCAGACTCAACCTAGCTCCATCTCTAAACTTAGCCTCATGTCGTTCCACGAACGCAGTTCAGTTTTAATTAATCAAGGTTCATTCAAGACAGACTTTGCATAGTCTCACTTAGTGCGCACACCCGCGATATTTAAGAAGCCCAAATAAATGGATGAACGATCGATAGACCAAATGAGTCGGAAAGCCTGTAAAACGAGAGCAGTGTTTTTTTCTGCCGCAGAATAAACGCTGCTGATGGACCTGTATGAAAAATACAAAGATGTAATCATTAAAAAAAGGCAATACAGTGGAACCTCAGATTACGAGTAACGCGGTTTACGAGTGTTCTGCAAGACGAGCAAAGATTTTTAATAAATTTTGACTTTGAAACCGAGCAAGTCCTGGTTTACGAGCGCCAAGTATCATCAAAAATCATATGGCACACATGCGCTCCTTGTTTTTCTTGTTTTTACGTGCGATCGGCTTCAAAACAGGAAGAGCATGCGTGCGCTTCTTGTTTTGACGCCGAGCGCAGGTCATCACAACTGAACCAATGGTTATTCACTTTCTCACGCTGCGGAATTGTGGGTAATCGTCTCCCATGCTCAGTCTC